ACTACTGCAGATAATATTTTTTATGTTAAGTAAGGGTAATTAATATCTAATAGTCGACGGTTAAAACAATGTTTCAGTATGGAAATGTTTGAAGATGATACTAACCTTAAAAATATGTAAAAAAAAAAACTAAAAATTTTATTGAGATACTAATAGCAAATAGAAATATTCTTGAACGAGTGAAAAAAAAAAATAACAAGTAAAACTGTCGTTTCTCCCAGCGAATTTGTTTCATTTACGGTGTGAACATTTACAGTCTAATGTTATATATGTAAATTATAAAATGATATGTTTTTGAATTTCTTTTTTTTTTTTTTTATATTTTCTATTACCTGTTCAGATTCATTGCACGGTTCATATAAATTAATTCAAAAACGAGAAAAAATATTTGTATACAGAGAAGTAAAAAAAATATGGTTAAAAAATTTTACTATTACAGTAACTGTTTACAAAGAGTTATGGAAATATTTTTGAAGGTTATGTATATGCATATTTATCCAGAAATTTTGACAAATTTTTGTGAAGAGTAAAAGAATTTATTAACAAAGAAAAAAAAAAACATGTCTGCGTGAAGCAAAGCCTTGAAAATATAAACTTGAAAATTGAAAAAAGCGACGGGTGGATAGTATTGTACGCAAGCGAACCTACAAGCAGACAATATAAATTCACCAGCAACTAATACTAGTCTTGTTTTCAGTTTGTGAACAATGTATAAATAAGTTTATCATTTAATGTCGACAGTTAGTAATACTTTATTGCTTTTTCAGACCATTGAGTAAAACATATTCTATAACTGCACTTACCTAACAACAGAAGGAAACAGATGTTAATTGCACTGTTACCTGTTCCACCTAAAAGAGAGAATATTTCCAAACTTTCATCCATTTCTGTTCAGATCCTACATTTCACCTCCTTCGTTTCATTTCACTTTGCCTTTTCTGTATGATGAGAATTAAGTAAAAGTTCAAAGAAAGCCACAGATTTGAATGTTTCAGTTGTTACTTCTTTGCAACTTATTGTAGCCTCTTATCCTTTATTATTATTATTATTTTTTTTGCCACCAAACAAGTGGTCATCGAGTCCAGCAAGTATAATTAAAAAATTTCATTTCCAAAGAATATTGTTAGATGATCCAAATGCTGATACTTTTCTGTGTTAAGTTACTCTGCATTATCTGAATAATAATTTATATTTAAACTACCGGATAAATTCTGCACATCAGCAACAGGGCGCAATGTTGACTGTAAAAGAGTTTTTGAATGAAGATAATAAACTATCGTTTCTTCAACCTTAAAAATCCCGTGTAAGTTGATCCTGACTTAACTTTGATGCAGAGAGAACAAGCAGAACAGATATCGAAGTTTCATCAAGTTGTCTTCAAAGATTTTCCTAATGAGTTTACTTATTTACGTACTTGCTCCGCCACCGGAAATCCGCGTAACAATCCTAGATTGATCAGATATTCTATAAATGACTGTTTTGTCAGAAACGACAGCTAACAGAGTTTTTGCTACCGATTTACCAGTCAGGGCATCAGCATCCTATTGATACCCAAATTTTTCTAAATTCTAAGAGTGGTCGTAAACTGCCTTAAGCTTTTACTAATGACAGTATCTACCGAAAAAAACCAGATAGCTAAAAAATACAATATAATATCAAGTTAGAAATTCAGGACAAAACAAAAAAATTTAAGCTTTTATTCATAACGTCAGTAAGTTGTTAAGAAATAGCATCAAGAAACATAAAGTTATCATTTTTGTGTTTTGAGAATTGTTTCGCTTTCGTCCTTATTTCTGAGTTAGAAAGAATTTTAGTGAAGAAGAGATTCAAAGAACAATAAAAACTTTAAAGCCCAGCGAAGCCTGATGAAAAAAAAACTAAACTTGCTGGACATGTTGATTGTAGTTGCTAAAATTTCTCCTGTTTTTCAATTGCAGACGAACTATCTCCGTTTAACAAATAATTAATCTGGCTTGATTAGGCTATTATCAAAAAGCCATATAGTTTGTCAGCACTGTGACTGCACCAATTATTCTTTGCCCTGTACAAACCACATT